TAAACTCACCTGCGCTCCAGAACATTCTTCCAATTACTTGACTACACTCTTGAATTAGCTAATTTTCTTCAGACTTATTTTTTTTAAGGATACTGAAACGAAATATCTAGAAATTCTAATATATATAAAATATTTCTAATATATTCGAGTGACACCTGCGCTTTTTTTTCTGTCAGCTCTTAAATTGGCCGTTTTTTGAACAGACTCTGGCCTGTTTAACTCAAAGCCAGCAAAACCTTACCTTTCACAGTCCTGTCTCATTCCGTGCTGCTAAAAAAGAAATAAAATAAAGTAAACGAGTTCATTATTCCTGAGTGATGAATCCAGCCCGAGCTCTGACAACGTGTTCAGTGAAAACGTCAGCAGGTGACTCTGTGTGCTGTCACCTGTCCGGGGCGTGTTGCAGCATTTGCACAAGGATCCTGTGTTAGTTTTGGCAGCTCCGCCGTCCTTAAGTTGACTAATGATTAAAAGTGAAAATGCATGTACCAGGGGTAAGCCTTATCTATATATTGGTGTTAAAAAAAATTCTAAAAATAAACAGCTTTGTAAAGGCTTTAAACCAGAAGAACAGGCCTGAATTAGATCCAGTTAATAACCAAACACATCACACCAACTAAATATCTCTTATAGTCAAATGTATTCATAGCCTCCCATTAAAGAAGGAAATGCAATCAGGTGTTTTCTGTAACTCTCAGTCAGACCTCTGCACCTGTTGACAGGTGTTCTGGTTTCACTGCTCATCAGCAAAGTGCTCTAATTGGACAATTTTGTTTATTTTTTAAAATTATTCTTTTCAACCACAATTCAAAAGCAACGTCTTATTCCACTAAATTATAATTTAGCAAATTTTTATTTATTATTACTTTTCCCAGTTTCTAGTTATTTGAGTGACTATCGTGAATTTTGCCTTTTCTTTAATAGAAGGGCGTGAATAAACTTGATGACTGTATGTAAAGCAAACTGGGTCAGTTTTTTGTCCATTCTGTTAGATTTACACTTTCTAAACCAGTTCACTGTATTTTCACATCACAGGAAAAAGAATTAAGGTAGTTTTGATCTACTGTATTTCCATTTACGTTGTTTTTCAATCAAAAAAACACCAATTATTCCCTGATTCTTACAGTCCGATGTGAGGATTTACAGTTTTTCTATCTATTTTATTTTTAAACTCACTGTAAACTTCATATATGTCTGAGTTTTTAAACAGATAAATGTTGGAGTTTCTGTTCCCCACAATTTCAATTATTCTGAAACAGTCTGGAAAGCAGCTGATCGTCACTAAAACACTCTGAGCTGAGCTATTGGCTGCTTCCCAGCAAAAAAAACACACTTTCACCTTAAATTCTTATCTCAGACTCAACAGAGTACAGCGGCGCCGGCAGCGTATCAAACACACTTCAAGGTGACGTACTGTGAATTATTTTTATTTATAAGGACATGACACACGACAATCAAAACAACAATTTAATCAGATTGCTTACAAATCATAATATATTGCAAAAAATCTAATCATATGGGTTACTTGACTGAAATTAACCAGCTACAATTAAAGCTGCACATTATTCATAAAACAAGTTCACTCGACCCAACAAGTCAGAGACCATGCAAATAAACCTAACGTAAGACCAACCTCACCGGGAAGCAGGAGGCTTCCTCCTCAAGTTCCTTAAAAAGTATGAAAATGCCAGTCAAAGTTCCCCGTCTGTATTTGAAAGATCTTGACACAAACGACTTGTACAGAGATAAATGAGGGTAGCAAGAGTGACTGCATATGATATACTGTACATATCAGTGCCTTAAATGACATGTTTCAAAAATAGTTTTTATCAAAAAATTCAGAATTCAGATCTTTTTACACAAAACAAATATTTTTTTTATTTTTATTTTTTTTTTATCTCTAGCTTATACAAGGACACTTATGGCCAGGTTACTGACAATAGTTCATCAAAAGGAACAGAATGCCGTGGTGCTGCGCGTATACTTCATGGATCTTCAGCAGTTTTGTAACTGAAATTTGTCGAGAAACGGGGGAACAATTTACAAAAGCAGAATCGCTCGTCCGCACTGTGCTTCTAAAAGGTCGCTCGGGATGAAATGAATCCGTCGATTAATCCGACGTTGAATTGAATTCGAGGGTAAATAAGTGATGCTAACAACATTTTCAAAATCATGTCGTGAAGCCCTGTCCCGATGCACATTCAGCCGCGTTAGCTTACAAGAACTTTCTTTTAAAGTGTCCATTTTCCTCTGACACAGTGGTATGTACAATTCTCAGGAAGCCACATTTCGTCGGGAAGTGTTTTCTTTTGTTGTCGTCGAATCTAATAAATGCTTGGAATTAACATGCCTTCCACTGACAAAAAGTGTCTCTTGCACACGCCTTGTCCTCTCTATCGACAAAAAAAAAAATCTAACAGTACTTCTCAGAAACATAAAAATATACAATGTATTTACAGCAGGATCATTTCTATACATTCTAGAGGGAATGATTGACGAGGGGAGAAATAAAAGTTAAAAAAAATAATGATTAATGTGGTGCCGCCTGTTCCCTGATTGTCAGTGGAGCAGCAACAAGAGGGAGCCGTTTGAAACCTAAACCGTGTTTAACACAAGAGCACCGAAGAGTGACGAAGACCTCGCTCGTTATTACTGAAGGTTTCTGGACAGACGTGATAATTTACTACCGCTTTCTAGCAAACAGGTGACGATCATTTAAAACTACAAACGTCTAAAACGTGATTCTGCAGTCAGTGAAATGCTAAGTCCTCCCAACCACACACACACACACACACACACACTCACACACACAAAAAAAGACTTAAACTTGGTGATATTTTTTGCTAAAATTCTAAAATAATAAAATACGACAGGCAAAAAATTAAATAAAGCTCCCAGATCTTAACATATTACAGAGTGAATAAGTCGATAGCTTATGTGTTTGTTGTTTTTGTGCAAGTGGAATAAGTAGCCTTAGAAGGTTAAAGAAAAAAAAAAGAAAAACAAACGTACATATGCAGGAATGAGTAAAGAGGAAAACGCTGGAATCAAATGAAAAGAAAAGGCACAGACGACGCAAAATGACTAAAAGACCTCATTTCCACATGTGCTGTCATAATTCATAACATAGTTTTGATAAAACTTTGGGGTTCTCGTCCAACCAAAGCCTGTTTAGGTTCCAAGAACAAAAGTCAAACCGCAGCCACGAGAGCCTTTTAAGTGACAAATGCAAAAAAAAAAAAGCACAATTTGTAAATTCAAATCTGACACAAGAGTTTTAAGTGGTTCATCTCACTCAACAAAAAAAAAAAAAGTTTGACTTTTAAGTAAAGGTATGATGCAACTCCTCCACCGTGACACCGTGAACTACATTCCCTGTAGTGAAGAATGTGCAAATTGTGCAAACGCGAAGCACAATCCTGTTAAGTAATCTCACTACAAATCACGAACGCTACCAAAAGAAAAGAAGAATTATCCTGCAACCATTACATGTGTGCAGCTATTTGATGCCTAAATCTGTTCTGGGGGGACAAAAAGCTCGTTTTAAAACAAAACTTTTTAATTCTAACGCAGCCCGGACGTTTTTTATTTTCTATTACGCAGCCCGTCTTGCACTTGAGTCACATCTGTAAAATCAGTCGCCAACAAAGGGAAACTAGCTGTGGATGAGAACTATAATTCCTCATTTCTGGCCATTAGACCCAAATCTTTAAATGAAAAATGTTCCGGATCAGATAACTACAATCAGTTGAATCTTTCCTGTACCATTCATGACGGACCCCCGGTGGAATAAAGTGACTTAAAAGTATGAAATGAAAAACGTTGTCGTGTTCTCATCGTTTCTCCGTAGACAGCTGGAATAAAAAAGGTTCCACCAATGAGCACAAACTCTGTGGTTTGATCAGATAAAGAGCCAGGGGGAGGTAGCTACAGTCAGAACAAAAAGGCAGACATAAACACAGCCTACATCTGAACACGTGGAAATATTGCAGTAAGCAGCAAGACTGACTTGATCTTTTTTTTTGTGTGTTTTTTTTTTGTGCAAGGCAAACTGATTGACACCAACATTAAAAATAAACTCTATGGCAATGGCATGACAGAATAATAATAATAATGATCATCAGTCTCTTGCGTTACACTTTGGTCGCTTAATCTCTTAATGTACATTCTGATCAAGAAATGTTTTTTTTTCTCAAAGGGGAAATGCTAATTATAGTAATTAATCGATTTTTAGTATTTCCATTTGTGAGGTTAAAGTATAGAAAACAAACAAACAAACAAAAACATGAATAACTTTTCTAACTAACTGCTTTAAGAAAGAGCACATATTTGCAATGGGGTTCGTTTTGGCAAAACAGGAGAGATGAGATAAAGTGCCGCTGAAATTATTAACAGAAATGAATTGTTCTCCCCCCGCTTCCTTCAGCCGAACGATTCGCTGGTCGAAACATCGGGGGAGGAGTTCAGTTGAGACCTGGTCTCTGTGACTCGAACTAAAGGGAACTCTGAGAAGTCTGTGCTGTGTCCTCGAACACTTACTTGTCCGTTGGCAACAGTAAACTGTGTGGAGGATCCAGATCTGGACGTCTGGAAATGAGATTTGAAGTTCTGATCGAAGGAGCTTATTTGGAAAGTCTGCAGTATCCCTTGTGACGCGTCGGTCTTTTTGGAGGGCGAGACCTGATCCAGAAAGTCCTCCTCAGCCGGGGACACTGCAGAGGGAGGGGTGGTCTCATCACCTGAAAATGAAAACGAGTTCTGGGAGTCCCCGACGAGTAATCCAAAGTGAGGTTTCTCTAAAGTGGACCTAAGCGGAGAGCTCATCCCTGATTTGAACCTGCTGGGGGAAGGAAACTGTTTTTCAGTGGAGAACAGAGGTTGTCCAGCTAACGTGGGGTTTTCAGAGACCAGGCTGAGGCTCTGGCTGGTCAGGTAGCTGTCGTTTTGACTGGTCCTCTCCAGAGCTTGCTGGAGAAATTTGGAGTATTCTTGCAAAAGGCTGACTTTCTCAGTAGGCGGCTGAGCCTGGGCGCTGGACACGCCGAGGCTCTCCACGGGGCTGCTGTCTGACACATCGGAGGAATTGATAGATATGCTTGAGGTCACCTCTGTGTCCGCCACGCTGAAAGTAATGTCTGATTGCCCGTTAGCTTTGTTGGAGTAGTGATCCAACAGCGTCTGAAGAACCTCGTCAGGCAATACATTCTTGTCATGAGTTGTCTTAATCTCTGTGCTGATTGGCTGCGGCTCCAGGATGGTGGCGGGGACAGTTTCATCGATGACGGTCGACACCACTGTTTGCGTAACAGGCGGCTGAGAGGAGATGCTGCTCGTGTTCAGGCCGTAATCCCGACTGTTGTTGGTCATGGCAGCCTGCAGGTAACGTTTCTTCTTCAGGAACTGCATGGCGTCGTCGTAGTTTGTGCTGTTGGCTGCTGGTTTCGTTGGTCCTCCCTGCAGAGTTTCAACCGACTCGAGCTCAGTGTTGGCCTCCACGTCTAACAGGCCTTGCTTGTCCACGATCTCGAAGGTGTACTGAGTAACCTTGCTGTTTTCCACAAAGGAGGACAACGTGGACAAGCAGGGGGGAGTTTGTTCGCTGGCCTGTTTGAGGCTCCTCTTGGGGACTTTCTTCAGGACTAGTTTGGGCGGAGTTGTTTCTTCTGATGACACGTCGCCCTCTTGGTGTTGGCTGGTCGTCTCTTCGGGAAGTTCTACAGAGTAGTCGGCAATCACGTACTCGTGTTTGACTTTGGAGGACACGGCGTACAGAGACAGACCTTCGATTTTATTCTGCCTCTGATCCTCTTTCTCCTCGGCTTCTACGACTGCGAACGTGTGCCCGTCCGGCGGGGCAGCGGTGGAAGCGCCTGAACTCTTGTCTGCACACTTTTGTCGCTTTTTCTTGGGCAGTGAACACTCTTTGGCAAGAAAGGGGGCCCCTAAAGAATCCGTTTCGCGCAAAGGTCCGACTTTACCGGCGGTCTTGCTCGTCTTTCTCTCTCTGTTCTCGTGACACATTCGTCTGTGCTTTAAAACCCGGTCCGTTCTGGAAAAGTACTGTGGACAGAAGACACAATACATGTATTTTACTGTTATTGAAAGCAGACGTTGAGGCAGGCATGTCACATTTATGATGCAAGTTCAGCAAACCCAGGACTTCTTTCTGTTATCTGGTTTTGCTGAACCAAATAACCACAGTCTCGCTAAGCGGTCACACAAAGCTGGTTTTCAAATCACCCCGGGTTTCTCAATTTAGCTATTAGCACGTCCACGTAGAAGGAGCAGTGGTGGCCACAGATGACTAATCACAAGCGAGGACAGGTCTAGAAATATCTCCCACAGGAAGAACAAACTTTAAGTTACAGCCCTGAAAACCCCAAAGTTAACCACGAGTTACGTCACTAACCTCAAACCCTGCTGTGCAGAACAGGCCTGTGGTTGATTCAGGCTTCCTTTATTACTGGCTGCTGTGTTTTTTTTTTCATTACAACCCATTAAAAAATTGGGTTAATTAAAGCTAATACTGTCACATTGGTTAGTATTTAATTTAATTGTCTCAGGCTCCTTGTTCACTAGCTACGTCTAATTTATGAGTTCCACAAATACAAGGTCTGTTAATATGAGTGCCGGTTTTCACACCCAGCATGTCTGGTTTGCTGAGTGTGTTCTGGGTGGTGAGAAAGCTGACGAGACACAGAATTTTGTTGTAGTAGTTCTGTGATTTTAGCACAAATTCCAAAGCTAAACAACTAATAAATGTACGTACTATTGGTGAACTGTTCGATCTTATCCGTACAGGCGGCGTAAACATTAACCATTTGGTAACGCATGAGAACACGAGCGCGGATCAAGGAAAGCAGGTTAAACTGTAATCTGTTGTCTTTGTATCCTCGGTGTGCTTTGTTCACTAAGTCAATTATAAAGACAGAGCAGCTCCACAGTAGTCATCCCGCAGGACTTCTGGACAAGAAAACTCATTTTTAGTCTGTATCTTTATGCCACTAGAGAACAGGTTTGGATTGTTTTTTTTCCACATTGGTTCCTGGTAATGCAGGATGACATCACTAATACAACTGAAGTACCCATCAAGGTGTAGGTAAACAAGTCAGTGTTAATATAAAACCAGAATGAAAATAGAATATTGTAATTTTTTTCCTTGGTTCTGATTAAATTAACAGAACTACAGTTTTGAAATTGCCCGCCTCGAGGGGGCATCTCCATCAAGACATGGGACAGTCAGCTCATCTGTTCTGCAGACTTCACACCTCTGACTCTGTAAGCTTGTAACTGCTGGTGCTAATTAAATTATGCACTATTTACTACACAAAGCTACACTAGACATGCCTAAACTGAGCTGTGACATCATCATTTGCCAAACGCTCCGCTTTATGTACACATACTAATAAAGTGGAGCTTTTAAAAACCTTCACTTTAGAAGTCATTTGAAAAAATCTCCATATTAGTGACCTAACGTGTTGTTGAATGTGGACGAGAGCCCCAAATGTAGAAGAAAATGCTTGTTTCCAAAGCATCTATATTAGGACCACTTCATGACCACTTCTAACTCTTGTGTTGCTTCCAAACACACTAATTTACAAGCAAACAAGAGGCGCGTACCTGGTGACAGTAGTCACACTGGTAGGGCTTCTCTCCGCTGTGAGTCCTCTTGTGCCTCTCCATGTGGTACTTCTGGATGAACCTCATCCCACACTCGTCACAGCGAAAAGGCTTCTCACCTACGCAAAAAAAACACACAAAATAATCAGTCAGGACTAAAATGACAAATAAAATCCTTGTGAATGCTGGCTGGCTTTATTCTGCACTCACCAGTGTGGATCTTCTCGTGTCTTTGGAGAAGATATTTCTGAATAAAGCGCATGTCACACTGGCTGCACTGAAATGGCTTCTCACCTGCACACAAACATCAATAAACAATACAGACATTGTATGTCATAGGATACTCGATACTTTAGTTTAGCACAATCCTTGTTTAGCTTAACACTTCCTCTTTTGATGGCTGCCAGATCCGTCACGGTCAACATATCCATCTTCAAAGCAAGAATTGTACATAATGGTATTTTAAAACACGACGTATCGTACCAGTGTGAATGAAGACGTGCCTCTGCAGATGGTAGTTTGTTCTGAACGCAGCATTACAGTGAACACAGACGTGACATTTGGGGTTTGGTATGCCCAGTGATCCATCGTCATTGATGCTGAGAATCTATAACAGCAAAAAGAACACAGATATATAAGTTATTAACTGTATTTTAAAAAAGCATGATTGCTGAGAAAAAAGTGATTTGCACCTTTGCTGGTGAGCGCTGCTTCCTCTTTTTCTTCTTGGGACACACCATCAGGTCCTTAATTGCTTTTTTGTCCTTCTTTATATGGGCCGCTGGCTCAGACAGTTTCAGTTCCTGCTTGATGCTCAACTGTAAAAGTAAGACCATAGATAGTCAAGACATTTAATATGGCACATGACCTACTTTAAGGGCCACCCAGGCAGCCAGCAGTTTATCCAGGTCAGGCAGGTGCAACCCGGCAAGCTGGGGATAATCAACCAATGTGAGGGCACCTCACCATGGAGCTGCTCCAGGCATAACTGACCTAAGGGAAGCCTCAGGTCCTAGAAAATCTCAGACATGCTGAGAGATTATATCTGCCAGTTGGTGTGGGAGAGCGTTTGCATACCCTCCAGCTGGCTCTTCTAAAATGCACGTACCTACTTTACAAAATTCAGAAAACACCACGTCTGTAACAATTAAAGACATAAAAACGTGATGACAATAAGATTCAAGTTCTTACAGTTCCTAAAAAGGAATAATGCTGTAAGCCTGATCCTCTGGATTAGCTCAGATTATCCTCAATGTTTACACTTGGAATAAAAAATAGTCTTTTTAAGTTTGCATTTGCGGTACTTGTATTCTTCAGTGATGCACAAGAATGAAGCGCACCAACACTCTGGCTTATATCGGTCTCAGCTTATGGGCTCCTGCAGGAATATTAATTTTTTTGAGTATCACTCAGTGCATCTTCACAGGGTCTTCACAGTGACCTCTCACACTGTTCCTAATACCTGTCATCCATTTACTATCACTGGAACTTATTAAAACGCTAAAAACAGCTTTCAGTTTCAGGTTTAGTCGCTATTACTTTAAACATTAACTTACCATTTTTGGCAGAATTTTGCCAGCTATTTGTACAGAATTAGACATTGCATGAACTCACTGGCATATGAAGCAAGCAGGGCAACTTATTGGTGAGTTTTAGGGGGAAATGCACTCCCACCTCGCCTCCTCCCTCCTCTTCTCCTCCTCCTCCTCCACCATTCTTGGTAATGTCCTCCTGCATCATCAGCTGCTCCGGAGGGACCAGGTCGTGAGTGACCAGCGAGCTCTCGGTCAAATCCTCGTCGTCGTCTTCGTCGTCATCGTCCTCAGCCAACAGAGGGTGGTTGGCCAGCGACCGTTCCCCGAGGGTCATCACCACGAGTCCTCCTCCGCCGCCCAGGCCGTCTCGCCCTCCTCCATCGATCCCTCCACTGCTGCACTTCAGCAGCATACCTTCCAACTTGTCCTCAGTGTTCATCTTACATAGAGTAGTTCTTGAGTCTGTGAAAACAAGGACATCAGGGGGGATGTTACCAGGAAAAATGTTAAACATTCAACATACCAATCACAACAAACATTAATGATAAAATAATTAAGTCCACCAAAACAAATGTTCACTGAAAGGTGTTCGTGACCAATATAAAACTAGTACGACAAGTTTCCAATAAGCCAAAAGTTGAGCTTCTTTTTTAAAACTGTGATGGTTCTTTGTTATTCCAATGTGCTGTAATATGTGATTTCAATTCCGGGAGTCAGTGAAACGGACACCCATGTTGGTACTGAACCCTGGCATGAACAAGTCCACAAAACTAGCTCTAGTTTAGCTCTAGTTTCATATAACAGTGATCTTGAAGCTACTTAAGGGCCCCACTACATACGGATTATGTGTATTGTCATCCCAGTAGTTTTTCAGTCACCCCTTGTACACACAGACTTAACCCAGGCTCCTATACATTACTTACTTCCTTGTGAAAGCGGTTAAGACTTATGATCCCTCTCCTATTGTCCAAACAATGCCTCTTCTCAGTACAGTGTCAACTTTGGTAACTGGGTCAGCTGTTGTTTCTGTAATCTTATCTTACAAAAAGGACTATACAGTGCAAAGTGATAGCAAACACAACTCAGAAAGTTAAGAATTTATTGCGATAATGCGGCTTTCATACAACTGAGGAAGTTTATAGTCAGGCTGTTTAGGTTAAGTGTTTTCTTTTCTCCCCAAAACTGCTAAATGTCACTCTGCGCTGACAACATTTCCAGGTTCAAAAGAGGTGGCAAAAACAGGTAAACATTATTACTGCACATTATACACCTGTATGTATCACACCTGTGTTGCCCTGACTTGGCGTCGCACCGCAGACCTGATAATTAGCCACACAATTAACATTAGCAATCACTTGATCTAAACACGGTGAAGCTAGCTAACGTAGCACTTGTGGACCGTTGGGCTACAGGTCTGCCACTTGAGCTCCGGCAGACTGACCCGAGAGACAGCAGGACAGGTAAACATCTGTCACGGTCCAAACACACACACACACACACACACCAAACAACCACTTAGCCCCATATGTAAACACACTCACTGTGTCACTTAGGTTAAGTGCCTTGACTCTCCTGCTAGCCAGCTAGCTAGCCGCGCTTGTCAACGCTGCTACATCACATTTGCAACGACGACTGAAGTAAAGGCAACGAGACGGGAGAAAAATGTCCGCACAAGTGAAGCTCGTCCACCACTTCGAATGAAACGCGGTGACATTGTACTTGCAGCGACTTGACAAACCTCCATGGCCTGTTCGAGGCTAGTTAGCTAGCCGCTAGCAAGTTGCTGCAAACATTGCCCGGTCTCTTTTGATGTAATATTCAGTTGACACAGCGACAGTGTCCCCTCGTTTGCACTTTCCAACCGCAAATCGTAGCTCACTTTAAACGACGTACGCGGCGCAGAGCACAACTCTCGTTTGCACATCTCACCAAACTTATCAACCGGGAGCTAGTTTGCTTTTTAGCGCTAGCGCCTCAAGCTTCCTGAGCCACTCTGCTCAATAGGCCACAGTGTTATTGGCTGCCAGTGGAGCTAACCGCCGCTAACTAGCTAGCTCGCCACTACGACAAACAGCAACGATACGTCTCGGTGGCGCACGAAGCGGTGTGTCAGCGACCAAAGCCGCATTGTTTCTTCTTACCTGCGCGTTCTTAAACCCGTTTAGCTGTCATGATTGTTATGCAAGACTACAGTGCAATGATGGAGTGCGGAATAATCAAATACACCATCACATTTCGTGAGCGCATGGAAGTTTTTATTTGTCGCCATCCAGTGGCGACTGTCGGTAAGTGCGGCGGACGGTGCGCTCCTCATCACGCTGCTGATGTTCCTCTGGCGACCTACTTCTATAGCCCAAATGATCTTCACTGATATTGTCTTAATAGCCTAGTTGTCATCAGTTATTTCTAGTCTTTGTTCTCATTATTGTTTTTAGCCTTTTTGAAATAGTGCTTCATCTTTACTGTGGTTACACATATTCATCTGATGTGGAAAAGACGCATGAGTGGGGGGATAAGCTCCATTAAAAGTCTGTTTTGTGAAGTCATATCTATTGCATGTGAGTGGATGTTTTCAGGTCTTTTTCGAAGTGGTTGCCCATTGTCTTGCTTCTTGCTGCCAAACCAGCGCTGATCTAAAGTGCCACGGCCTTCATGTGCTCCTCAGAAGCTGGAAACCTCCTTCAACAATCTTTCCAGTTACGACCTTGCTGTCTTATAGTATCACCTGCACAGATCTGCAATATTACCATGACTTGACAAGTGGTTTTTTTTGTTTGTTTAAGAATATCAGCTCTTTAGTTCTTCTTGAAGCTGTGCGTACACATGGAGTAACCAACCTGAATGTTATATAAGACAAAATAAAGCGCGCATCAAGTGGAAAAGATTTTTAATGTAGAGCAATATGTGAAAAATAATCCTTCAACTAACAGCTCTGCCAAAAAGAAATGTGGCGGGTCGTGATAAGATGATAGCCTGTCATGCCCAGCCATCACACACACAAACACACACACATACACACACACGAGCGCGCCGCCGTGAGGAATACTAATCAACCTGTTTGCCGACAAGTGCAGCAGCTCGGCGCGCAACTTAGGACTTCTCCATTCTGTGTCTGGAAACATCTCTGCCGGGTTTGATCTAAAAACCTCAATTTCATCGCGCCTTCGCCACCGCAGCCCTCCTTTGAGAGAACCACGGGTGTTATCACTCCAGTCTCCCCTGTCCCTGTCTCCTCTGATGTGCGACAGGCAGCGGCGGAGAGTGGATCCGGGGAGAGACAGCCCACTGCTGCGCCGCTTCTAGCAAGGGAAGCCCCCACGCGTTGCGCGCCCGGATCGCCGGTATATATTCGCGTCGCGGAGTGCGTGTGCATGCGCGCCAGGCTCTAAATGTGTGTGTCGGCGCACGACAAAGCCCCGGGCTCCGTCCTCAACAGTTGCCACCGGAGCGGCGGAGAGGAGAGGAGGAGAGCGAGAGAGACAGCAGACTGAGGACGGACGGACGCGGAGCCCCACGCCGCTCTGCCCGGCTCTGCTCCTGACATGCAGTCGCTCATCTCTCCGGTGACCAAGGCCATCCTAGTCGCGCTCTTCATCTTCGCCATACTCCTCATTCTCTATGTGATCCTTTGGTACATTTGCAGAGACGTGGACTGCGACCACGGCATTTGAGGATTCCGTTAAAACGGGAGTAACGGGAATATCGCAATGGGGCGCACAGAGGAGCCCGCAGAGTCCAGGGTCATCCCGTAAGTCTGTCTTTTGTTTTGTCCTTTTAGTTGTCTGTGCGTATTTTTGACTTATTTGTGGATGTGTGCGTCTCTCCCCGTTTGCATGTGTGTGTACACGCGCGCATTCCGGTAGTGCGTAATGTTAAATGCGCTCTGGTTGAAAGGTGATGACCGGCGTGCGTCTCCACCGGCACCCCGTATCCCAAACTCCAAATGAGCAGAGCCCCGAAATTCCTTTCTGTTCAACTTAACAGCGATCACCTATCGATAATGCCCCGCGTATCAGAGCCCCGGTATTACAGGGAATCCTCAGAGGTGACACAATGTCATCTGAGGGATATCGAACCGGTGTCAAACAGGAGACGGTACGGGGGGCGCGTGTGTGGGCTCCCAATGAATGGAGTGCGAAGCGCGCCGGTGACATTGCGGTAAGCGGTGTGGATGTCCCTTAAGGTCAAGAACAACAGTGTTTACCTCAGGTTGCCAACAGTGTTTGCCCCCCTTCTTCTACTTCCGTATATCTGCAGCATTAGTTCATGCTCAGTTCATCTTGGTCTCTGAGGATGCTTCATATTGGCATTTTACGTCTAACGAGATAACAGGATTATCTCCATTGGCTCCTGCGCGTCTTATTCCTAATCTGTCTTGTGCCATGTTTTCGCGTCCTTATCATAAATACTCCTCTAATGCTTTTACGCATAGCGCATTTTGTTCCCCTTGACATCTGTGAGCTTGTCTCAGCCTTCTGTGTCCAATCTTAGTGTAGGGAGATGTACTGATTTTATTTGTTTTTACTTTAACACACACACACACACACACACTGGCCACGCTTAATGAAGGGCTTCTCAATATTGCAGGCACGTTGGCCCCCAATGCTTACATGCGGTCACATGGCCCATGGAGCTATTAAACATGTGAGATGTGATTGCCATTTTTCATCTGGGTTCAAAGCATTTTGTGTCATCTCCAGCGACCATAAATCAGGGATATTAACACATTTTGCACCTTCCAAAGTGAAGGATGTGAAGGACACACCAAGGACATGGTGCATTTTTTAAACTGTTTTTAGGATATCCAAGCAGGAATGTGATCCAAAATCCAGTGTATAGGAGTCTTCGCTTACAGGAAGAGTTTACTCATCTCATATTCCTGTGAATCCTCCCAACCTAAATCTATGTCACACATCTTGGCGTGCTAAAAAGGAGAGGGCAAAGGCTTGACTTGATCCCTTATGACTGTCACTGACTGGTGATTATTAAATGATAATCACTGACTGCAGCTGACAGAGTAGTTTAGCCACTTTTTCTGTATAAATTCCCCTTAAACACGCCAGGAGATTTTTTTTAAAAAGCCGAGCATCCCCCCTCTACCTCACCAAGAAAGTGCAAGTTTAGGCTTAAAAATTTTAAACCGTCTTATTTTGAGCCACGGGTGCTACACTCTCGTATTTAAAAATCCATAAGCAGCCTAAATGCTGGATGCAGCCCACGAGGAAGAAACCCCGCAGTCTCCTAAACTGTTGTGTGTGCTCTCCTGCAGAGAAAAGGAGAGTCTGGTTGGATGGCAGATGCCCTCTTTGACCGGAGTACAAAATGATTCCTGCCAGCCATGAGTGGATATGCAAGCAGCCTTTATCACCCCTCAACACACAGACACACACACACACACACACACACAAATGACAGTTGTGACTCTATTAGCCTCAGTAGTAAACATAATGAGGGAACGAGCGAAAGCAAACATGTATACGACAACCGCTCCAGCTGTTGGTGTCTGTCGAAACTGGTGTCCTGGATTGTCTGTGTGAGTGTGTTGAGATGGAAAGAAGAGAAAAAAAAAAAGCTGTGTTTGAGTGACTGTGTATGTTTGTGCAGT